CCTGTCTCTGGTTCCTGCCCTGGGCCCAGAAATGGAATGGCTGGATGTGGGGCACCGCACTGTGGCAGGGGTCCTGAGCGGCACCTTCTGGACAGTGGGCGTGATGCTGTTGGCACTGGTCGGGTACCTGATACGGGACTGGCGATGGCTTCTGCTGGCTGTCACTCTGCCTTGTGCCCCAGGCATCCTCAGCCTCTGGTGAGGACTGTGGGCTGCTCGGGACTAGGTGATAGAGGAAGTCAGAGACAGAATTAATCAGAGGCTGAGATTCGAATACAGAGTGACTGAGAGATGAAGAGAAAGAGAAAGTCAGCAACCGAGAAACGGAAAAAGAGAGAACGAGAGACCAACCGATACAAAGAGGATGGCACCGGACATGAGAAGCAGAGAAACACAGGACAACATGTAGAGAGACTATGGAGAGACAGAGACAGAATCAGTGAGAGGTAGAAAGTGACAGAGACCAAGACTGAAAGGCAGATTCAGAGGGACAGATAGAGATGGTTGAAGCAGGGACAAGAGAGGCAGGGATGGACAGACAGGGCCAGCACAGGGGTAGGGAGTCCAAGCAGGAGGGTAGGAAGCCAGGCAGCGTGGGCATTTCATCACCTCCCAAAAATGAACTGGCTTTTGATGCCCTTCGGGGATTTTTGTATGTCTGTCTCTCCTTCATCCTATGCCCTCCTGTCACCTGTGGGAGAAGTGGGTGGCTGATGCTGGGGGCTGAGGTCTTGGCAATGATAGCAATCCAGTTGAATAGAGAAGGGAATCCTCGGCTGTGGCGGACCTAGGCCTGGGCAAGGAAGTGTGGGAGGAGGTGGCTTTTAAGTTGGGCCTTAAAGGATGAGTAAAAGTTTATCAGGTGAGGAGGGTTTGGGCCATGTTGAGGGACTGCATGAGCAAGAGCCTGGAGGTTGATAGGCTGTGGTATACGCAGGAGGGAGATGTGGCTGCAGGTGCTGACTCTGCCTGAAGGGCCTCCTGCTGTCCCCCAGGTGGGTGCCTGAGTCTGCACGCTGGCTTCTGACCCAGGGCCGTGTGGAGGAGGCCCACAGGTACCTGCTCCGCTGCGCCAGGCTCAATGGGCGGCCCATAGGTGAAGATGGCCTGACCCAGGAGGTGAGGGAGAATGTGTGTGTGAGTGCAGGCAAGTGCATGTGTGTGTGTGGGGGGGTGCATGTGTGTGTATATGCACTTGGGTATGTGAGGCCTACGTCAAGCTCCCCCTTCCTGGGGCCCACTGTATGAACAGGGAAAGCTCCTGGCCCCCAGTGGAGAGTTCCAAACTCTTCAAGATGTCCTACCTGGCTCTGTTGGGCCACATCCTTGACTCAGCGCCCACATTACTCAGCTTGGAAGTGCATCCCCAAGAAGGAGGAGGCAGAGAGACCTGGGGAGATCAATGTGCCTAGCTAAGCCATGTGCCTAAGCCAACTGACGTCACAAATTCTCCTTCTCTCCTGCCAGGCCCTGGACAAAGTGGCCACTCGGGAGCGAGTGGTTCGAAGACCCTCGTACCTAGATCTGTTCCGGACCCCACGGCTCCGACACATCTCACTATGCTGCATGGTGATGTGGTGAGGAGAGGGCCTGGCCTGGGCAAGCTGGGTGGGGATGGGTGGACAAAAAGGCAGACTCCAGGATGGCGCTGAGTGTGAGAGGAAGATGGACAAGTGAACTGTAACTGTGCAGGGCCGGAGGACCTGCCTCTGAGGGCATGGAGCTCTGGAAAGTCACAAGATGGAGCAGGCATCAGAGGAAGGGCTCAAATGCAGGTTCTGCCACCTCCTTACTGTGAGACCTTGGGCAGGTCACTTAACACCAAGCCTCAGAGTCCCTTCTGCAAAACAGGACGCTTTTAGTTCCTACCTCACAGGCTTGCTGTGCAGATTAGGTAAAGACGCTTTGGCCATTGGCAGGTGCTGCACACTCCCGGGGGGATTATGGGGACAGGGAAGGCGGTGGGCAGTGGGCTCTGGAGGTGGGGGAGGTGGTCCTTCTAAAAGGCCAAGGCTCCCTAAAAAGAGAGGACAAGGAGTGGAGGGTGAAAAGGAAGGCCCCTGAGTGGCATCACGACCCCCTTCAGGTTTGGAGTGAATTTCTCCTATTATGGCCTGAGCCTGAATGTGTCGGGCCTGGGGCTGAATGTGTACCAAACACAGCTGCTGTTCGGGGCTGTGGAGCTGCCCTCCAAGCTGCTGGTCTACCTGTTTGTGCACCACGCGGGACGCCGTCTCACGCAAGCAGGAGCGCTGCTGGGCACCGCCCTTGCTTTGGGGATCAGTCTGCTGGTGACCTCGGGTGAGCCCCGCCCACTCCCCGGAGGCCCCGCCTCCTGCCCAAGAACGCCCGCCTTTTCCCCCCGGAAGCCCCTACTCAAAGCCCTCCACTAGGGGAACCTCCCATCCTGGGAGCTCTGGGTCTCCCACAAGGCCCGCTCCCTGCCTGAATCCCTTTTCTTCCAGGGATGGGGCCCTGGAGCACCGCCCTGGCGGTGACAGGGAAAGGTTTTTCTGAAGCTGCCTTCACCACTGCCTACCTGTTCACGTCGGAGTTGTACCCTACTGTGCTCAGGTGAGGGGAGCCTGGGTCCCAGGCAACCCACCTGGGGGAGGGCTTGTAGTCACATCTTTTTACCAACACCCGACACACACACACACACACACACACACACACACACACACACACACACTCTCTCTCTCTCTCTCTCTCTCTCTCTCTGCAGCCCAGTTCCTCCCACCCATTCCTCACACCAGACCCAGAATACAGAGCTAATCAGAACCATCTGTGCATGCTTAAATCTGGGAGAAGGCTGAGCATTTTATCTTTACTAAGTGACCCTGAGTGAGGTCACACTTCTCTGGGCCTCCTTTAAAACAAAAGTCACAAAAAGCGCCATCTGCCTTTCCCTTCCCATTCACCACAGCCCAGGCAGAGCTGCCCTAAGGAGTAATCTCTGGACCTAAGGCCTGAGGCCCTTTTTTTACTTTTTAAAAGATTTTACTCATTTGAGAGAGAGAGAGAGAGAGAACATGAGTGAGGAGAGGGGCAGAGGGGGAGGGAGAGGGAAAGGGAGAGAATCTCAAGCAGAGTCCCACGGAGCTGAGGTGGGGTTTCATCCCACAACCCCCAGATAGTGACCTGAGCCAAGATCCAGAGTGGCCATGCTCAACCGAATTAGCCACCCAGGTGCCCCCTGGTGCCCTTTCAGCTAGCTATCAGCAGGTGGGGAGAAGATTGTAGGCAGCTGGGTATGTTTAGAAAGCCCTGCTCCTCCTCTACCAACATGCCAGGGTCTGTAGGAGCTGGGACCCTCTTCCTTCCACACTACCCTTTCCCCACCCCTTTTGTGATGACTTTTCTTTTCCTTCAGCAGTACCTGATTGGTTCTGTCAGAATGGGAGTCCCATTCTCTGGTGAATGCTGGCTTGGGGACAGGTGGGAAGACCACCCGAAAGAAGCCTCAGCTTTCTTAGCCATCTGGGGAGAAGGGGATGTCAGGACTTGCCAGCCCAGGATGGGAACCCTGTGAGGCATGACCCTAAGTAGGTGTGAACACCAACACCTTCCCCCTTCCTCTCTCTGAACAGACAGACAGGGATGGGGCTGACTTCACTGGTGGGCCGGCTCGGGGGCTCTCTGGCCCCACTGGCGGCCTTGCTGGATGGAGTATGGCTGTCACTGCCCAAGCTCGCTTATGCGGGGATTGCTCTGCTGGCTGCCTGCACTGCCCTCCTGCTACCAGAGACAAGGCAAGCACAGCTGCCGGAGACCATCCAGGACGTGGAGAGGAGGTGTGTGCACAGAACTGTTTGTGTCTGTGTGAGCACATACATGTGGGAATGAGTGCTCAAGTACCTGACGCCTTAGGTAGGATTCAGAGAGGATGACGTGTCTGCATGTTCTGTGTCTGGTGCTTCCATGCAAGTGTGAGTGGGTGTATGACTTGAGGTTTGTAAAAGTATACGAGTCCGTATGTGTGTATGTACATGGATATCGAAGACTGTCCAGGAAGAGGTGGATGTGTGCACACTCAGGTATGCCTATACATCAGGGATGTATATATAAGCATGTGTGGGAGTCACCTGTGGGAGTACCCATGTTTGTATACCAGCAGCTGGGGAGAGGTGTAGGCCAGCCCTGATGGGGCATGCTCGGGTGGGAGGCCCAGGGGCTAAACCCCACCATTGCTCATGACTCCTTCCTCCACAGTGCCCCATCCAGCCTTCAGAAGGAAGAGATACCCATGAAGCAGGTCCAGGACTGAGTGGTATCAGGGGCAGGCCCTCCACAGAAATTCTGCAGCAGGGGCTGGAAGACCAGAAGGGCAGGCCCTGTGGCTGGGGCTAGGGGCATCAAGCCCCCTCCCCAGGGCTGGAGTTGCCACCAGTGCCCCCTCTCTGTGCTCATGAAGCCTTGACTATTTGGCCTTCAGCAACTGGGTGACTGAATGCAGTGGGCTGCTGAATAATTCTGGTACCCTTTTCGTGGCTGGGGGAGTTCCATAAATGAAGGTGCCCCATGGGTTTGGTGCAGCAGTGAGTTGTGGGATGAGCCCTGGATAGGAAGCCAGTCTGACCCTGGGATCTGATCCCAACTTTGCCATTGATTTGCTGTGAGACCTTAGGTATGTGGCTTTCCCTCTCAAGGCTTCAGTCTGTTCATCTCTCAATGGATAATGAAGCCTCTTAGCAGACCTCACCACAGGATCTGTTGTCATGCTCAAACAAGATGCCGAATAACGTGCTTCTTCTAGAGACGGTGCTAAAGAAGGGATTGCCCTATGATGACTTCTGGCACCAAAAGGCTGGTGGACATGCTGTCCACTGTGTGGTACTGGGAGCTGCCCAGGACCAGGGTACCAGGAGAATAGAGCTCTTTGTTCCCATGGCTGGCCCCGTACCTACCAGGTACTTTGCAGGGTAATGCATCCTCCACCCCACACCTCCCATCCTCCAACCCATTGTTTAGGCCTCATGCCCAAAGAAGAGTTGAAGGCATGGGAGCCAACATTTTATTGGAGAAGCCAGAATAAACACGTTTTTTAAGTACCTTGAAGTTAAAGAATTTGCTAGGGAAAGGGACTGGGAAGGCCAGGAGGCTACCCTTTAAAATATGGTGACCTATGTCTCCTAACCAGATAGGAACAGGAAAGGGAGGAATCAGCAAAGTCTAGACTCCCTGGTCTACCATGGAGCCTAGGCCCAGGCCACTGGAAGACCATCTTCCCCATGTGGGACTGGAGAATTCTGTAGCTCCCACTGCATCATGGAAGGGATGGTATGAGGCCTGAGTTAGAGTGACCTCTCCTGTGAGCATCTCATTTGGATTTTATCTCCACGGGGTCATAGATGTAGCAGCCCACATCACCAATGTTCACACCTGAGGGAGAGAGCCCCATCACCAAAGGCCTTGGGGCTGGGGGGTGTTGGGCTGAGGGATGAAGGGAATTGGGAGGGACCTGGGGTGTGTGTGACCACCCCAGTTTTTGTCCATACATCCCCACAGACCCACATGCCATACTTTAGGCCCACTGTCTGGGGTGGGGCCGCCCACCTTTGGGGCCAAACAGGTAGCCGTAGCAGGGGATGTGGCAGTAGGGGACGCCGTCATGCTGGGACATAGAGAGAAAGAGAGCCATCTCAGCTTGACTCTCTTCCCAGCTCCAGCCTCCCTCCTCCCAACATAAACACCCATCCCTGCCCTGTTCACCTCAGCATGACTCCCAGCAGTCAGGGTCTTCCGGCAGCGCTGGCACCTCAGACAGGGTCGGTGCCAATTTCTGCCCAAAGACATCACCTTCTCAGCTGGTGGTGGAGAGAACTGGTAATTCCAGGGGCAGGGCAAGGAGACCTACCTGCTTTGCACCACCTCCTTACACTTTGATGCCCAACCTCTGCCCCCCTCCCCAAGCTTTCCATTGTCACTTACCAAAATAGACAGGTTCCTCACAGCCAGGGCACAGTGAAGTCTCCCCAGTGAATGTCTTCATGTGGGGAGGGCCTTTAAGGGGAAGAGGCCCTGGCTAGGGCTGAGGCGGGGGCCAGGCCTAAGCAGGGCCCATCAGCACCAACCTTCCAAAAGCCAGGCTTATCCCAGAGCCCCCCACCCAGCTGGCCATGAGTCTTTCTTGGGCAGAGCTGAGTCTCCTATGACCTCCACCTCCTGCCCCATCCCTTTCTGCAGAAAGGACCACCTGCTTCCTTCTCCTAGGGGATCAGGTACCCACCAGCTCAACCCTGTCAGCAACTCAATCCTCAGGAAACCTGAGCTGATACAGGAGCGGGCCTGTATGGGTGTCAGGTGTTGGGGAGCATGGTGTCATTGACCACTCTAGGGGATGGGAGGAAGGAACAGAGAGAGGGGAGAAGTGGAAGAAAATGAGGAGCTGGCCCTGTCTCAATGACCTCTTACTCCTAGGTCATTCTTTCCATGGCCTTGGCCTGGGAGAGGCCTGAATTCCAGGCCAGCTTTGCCTCTGACTTGCTGTGTGACTGCACGAGGCCACTCGCTCTCTCCAAACCTTAGTTCCCAATTTACCTCTTAACTCAGCAGCTGACAAGAAAGAACCCCCCAAAAAGGGCCATGAATAAGAGAAGACTTTGCCACAAAGTTGTAGGAATGTGAAGCAGAGGACTAGGGTGGGAGACTGCCACCTGGTCTACCTGTTCCAGCCTGGGGATGAGGAGTAGCTGGGGCCCAACTTCACTTACTTTTCTTGCCCTGGGGGAGGCCAGTCCTGGGCCTGGGGGCGCTGAAACTGCTGGGGCTGAGGGGAGTGGTGCTGGCTGGGGTGGGAGTGGGAGGGTTGTAGAGGTAGGAGCCCACACCACCAATGTTCACCCCTGCAGAGAAAACAGGGGCTGTCAGGCTTGAACCTCCAGCTCCCAGCCACAAAGAAGGTCCTGCTGTCCCCTGGCCTCTTCTAGGTTGGTACTTACCCCTGGGTCCAAAGAGAGCCCCATAGCATGGCTTGTGGCAATACGGCCTCCCATTGTGCTAGACACAAGCAGAGGAAAGAGGGCTGCTCAGGGCTAAAGAAGCGGGGAGGGGAGGGCACGGGGGGCCCTCCTGTTGTCCCACAGGCCTTCCCTCAAGACAGACTGCCAGGTATGTCTGTCCATTGGCCTCGGCTAGTGGGGTTGGGAGGGGTGGAGGGTGACCTGGCATGTCCGAATTGCCACTGTGGTCAGGAGAAAGGGCAAGAGCAGGTCAGAAAACTGCTGCTTCCCTCCCCTCCCACCAAAAGGCATGGGGTCTACCCCCCACCAGCACAACTCAGGTGTCCCAATTCCTGGCTGGTGTGGGGCCCTCCGGGTAGGTGGTCTTGGTATTTGACTGTGGAGGTTGCCTTTAGTGAGCCTCCTGAGCAGAAACTGGGGGCTGGTGCTTAGGGGATAGTGACAGACACAGGGCTGTGCGCCCTGGCCAGGCCTCACCTCTGCATGCCCTCCTGGGGACAGGACGCTGTGGCAGCGTTCACATTTCAGGCAGAAGCGGTGCCAGTTCTTGCCCAGGGAGCTCACCTTCTCCGCTGTGGGGGACAAGGTGGAACCGGACTGTGGAGAGCCAGGCCACGTAGCGGGCGCCCCCTGTCCCCCCTCAGCCCCCTCCCCGCCTGCTTCCTAGAGACGATGGGGAGTGTCGGGGCGGGGGGGGGTGTCAGCTCCAACCCAAGTGCCCTGCGCCCCAGAGGTGGAAAGGGGGTCTGAGGCCACACCGTCGTCAGCTTCTCGAACGCCCCGGCTCACACTCGCCCCATCTCCCCCTCCTCAGCCCCGGCCTCACCGAAGAAAACGGGTTGCTGGCAACGCGGGCAGGTCCAGCTCATGGCTCCGCACAGGACAGCCGGCGCCACACACTGTAGTAACCACCGAGGCGGGGCTCCGTTCCCGCCCCCTTCAGTGGCTCCGCCCATGGCTCCGCTGTGAGCCTCATTGGGCAGAAACCGCAGCTCCTCGGCGCCTATTGGCCGTCAGAAATTTAGAACAACTTCACCTGGGAGACGCCGGCGACCTCGCAGGTCCTTCCAAAAACTAAAGCCTCCGACCGGTGGAGACGAGAGAGGGACTTGAAGCCCGACGGGAAAGGAAGAGAGCAATGAGGACGACTGGAAGGGTGGCACTAGTTTCTGGCTTGGTACAAAGGGAAAACTGTCCAGAGTACAGAGGTCATAAAAACACGGTAATTTCCTCAAAGCGAGGGGTCAGGCATTCTTTGAAATGGCTTAATTCCGCCTTGACAGTCTCAGGTGGTTAAGAGCGTCGGAATCTGGAGCGCATCTCTGCCACTTACTCTCTGGCTTCAGGCAAATTACTTAACCTCCCTCTGCATCCATTTTATTTGTACAATGAGTATGATGATTAATCTCTACCTCATAGGATTGTTGTGGAAACTGAGTTAGTATGTGCAAAGGGCCCAAACAGTGATTGGCACATAGCTGCTATAAAAGCGATAGCTATCATTATGATAGATCCCATAATGAACTCAAGACTCTTTGGAAGCCTCAAAATGTGGTCTGGATACAATGGTTTTCTTGTGAAATTACAATGCTTATTAAATTTAAATGTATAATTCAGACACCAATTATATAATCCCAATTTAGTTTTAAGGTGTTTTAATATTTGTTACAAGTAGCCCAAGAGTGCTTCAAAGGACACTTCAAGAAAACCCACAGAGAAAGGAAGAAAATATTTGCAAACAGTATCTGGTAAGGATCCAGTATCAGAATATATATAAAGGACTCTTACACCTCAATAATAAAAAGACAACCCAATTTAAAAACAGGCAAAGAATTTGAATAGACATTTTTCTAAAGAAGATATACACATGGCCAACAAGCACATGAAAAGATGCTCAACATCATTAGTCATTAGGGAAAGGAAAATCAGGATCACAATGAGATACCATTATAGACCTATTAGAATGGCTATAATAAAAAAATGAGTAACAACAAGTGTTAGGATGTGTCAAAATTGGATTCCTCATATGCTGTTGATGAGAATGTAAAACAGTACAGCCCTTTGAAAAACATTCTGGTAATTCCTTAAAAGGTTAAAGAGAGTTACTGTATGATCCAGCAATTGCAATTCTGGGTATATACCCAAGAGAAATGAACGCCTATGTCCACATGAAAATTTGCACATGAATGTTCATAGTACTGCTATTCACAACAGCCAAAAGTCCATCAACCGAAAACAGATGAACAATGTGGCATATCTGTGATAGAATAGGATTCAGCCATAAAAAGGAATGAAGTACTGATGCACAACCTGGATGAGCCATAAAAACATGCTAAATGAAAGAAGCCAGACACATAACACCACATATTGTATGATTCCATTTATATGAAATGTCCAGAATAGGGAAATCCATAAAGACAGAAAAGTGGATTAGTGGTTCCTAGGGGTGTGGAGGAGGGGCAATTGGGCATATCTGCTAAGGGGGTATTAGGTATCTTTATGGGGAGATGAAAATGGTCTGGAATTAGATAGTGATGATAGTTGTAAAACCTCATGAATATACTAAAATTAATGAATTCTATACCTTAGAAGGGTGAACTTTATGATATGTGAATAATTTCACAATAATAATAATAATGATAATGGCTGAAGAGAACTTGTTTTTTAAAAAAGGTAGCTCAGGGAATGAGGGGCAGGAAAGACAGCTGATTACTATGTGCCAGTGCCCCAGCAGAGAAAAGAATTCCTCGATGAAGTATTAGGTGGTGAAATGAAGAGTTTTCTGGAGTATCTTTGTTTTGTCAAGTCAGCTCAGAAACAGCTCAAGGGTGTGTGTGTGTGCTGAACTTAGCCTTCAGCTGCAGTGGGTGAGCCCTGCTAGGTGAAAGGAGTCCTATTTGTGTCTCAGGAGTCTGAGACCCTCTCTGGACTTCAGTTCCCTCACTGGGTAATGGGATAGGACTGGTGTCTGAATTTCCACTCAACACTCCTGTTGCCTCACTTGTCTCCATCAGTACTTTCTCCTTTTAACACTTGTTTTATCCTCCTTGTTGACTTCTAAAGGTGGAAGCCTGCACACAATGAAACAAACTTTTCTATACTTTCTCAAAATTATCTGTTTCTTGTTTTGGGAACTATTTCAAGATCCTTAGTTTTATAACTGTTTCTTGATGGGCTTCTTTAACAACCTTGGAAAAATATTAGTCTCCACCGATATTTTACTTTTGTGTTTCTGCCTCTCATTAGTTTCTTACAGAAGGTGGCTTGAGGTTCACCGTTTTTTTGTTCTCTATGGCTCTCATGGAGAAGGTCTTACTTCAGGAGGTTGGGAGGACTTCATTGTAGTCATTCGAAGACACTGCATTTATTCTCCTTTAGAAAGGTTAGCCTTATTTGCCCACAGAACTATCCTTAGAATTTCTGGGGCATATCAAATTATCTTTCTGAAACTGAGGCTCTGTAGCTCTTTCTGTGTGGGATCACCTTGGCCACATACCTCAGCCTCCTTGAGAGGTCATCTTTACCAGTGCATCCAGCACAGGGCCCCACACAAAGAAACAAGTGTCAGAGTGTGAGCGCCATGCTGCCTTCACACAACTTGCACTGAGTCAGTGGGGCAAGTGCTATACTGCTCCCGTCTTCTGCGGCCTTCCTGTGTTGTATGGCTATGACAAACACAGTATGCCTTGTCTCTTCTAGTTCAGTGCTTAGAAAAGACTAGTTGAGGCTCCTCCTTTTCAAATATTGGCCATTCATTTGCAAGTACAGTAAATCACAGTATTCCACTCTTCTTCCTTGCCTGGCTTCTATTATTCTGTCTCTAAAAGAGGCTTTGTAAAGAATGCTAACAGGGGGGCGCCTGGGTGGCTCAGTCAGTTAAGTGGCTGCCTTCGGCTCGGGTCATGATCCCTGGCTCCTGGGATCGAGCCCCATGTCTGGCTCCCTGCTCAGTGGAGAGCCTCCTTCTCCCTCTCCCTCTGCCTGCCGCTCTGCCTACTTGTGCTTTCTCTGTGTGTCAAATAAATAAATAAAATCTTAAAAAAGAAAAAAAAAGAATGTTAACAGGGAAAATGAACACCTCTTGTAGGAATGTACTTGTAGGAATGTACTGACAGTGGCTGTTTCGAATACTTGTGTGACTAAAGCCTGTAACGTGATAGTTTAACAAATACCACAAATGGTTAAGTCCAGTTGAGTGTAGGAATTACCTAATCAGCTGTCAGGGTGGAGTCTGTTTTTTTTTGAAGATTTTATTTATTCATTTGACAGAGACAGACACAGCGAGAGATGGAACACAAGCAGGGGGAGTGGGAGAGGGAGAAGCAGGTTTCCCACAGAGCAGGGAGCCCGATGCGGGGCTCGATCCCAGGACCCTGGGATCATGACCTGAGCCGAAGGCAGACGCTTAACAGACTGAGCCACCCAGGCGCCCCAGACTGTTGGTAGTTTTTGATGAATTGACCCTTTTATTGTTATGAAGCTGAAGAAACAACCTTTTCAACTCAAGATGAGTGGTGGTGAAGATAATGGCCCCAAAAACCTGAAGGCTGTCACATGGATGAGGCATTAGGAGCACTACTGAGACCCCAGGATAGAGGTCACAGAGAAGCAGATTGGGATTCTGTCCAAGAAAAGAACCTTCTTACAGAGCCCAAACATGGGGTGGCTGCTTCAGATAGTAGTGAGCTTCCTATCTCTGGATGTTATAAATAACATTGGAGAACAAACCAACTGATCACCAGTGTTGCAGAAGGGATGCCAGCATCATACACAGACAGATATTTGAGTTTTCCTCACAATTTGGCAGTATATGATTTTGTGATTCTATTACCAAAGAAGAGTTTCAAATTTGTTAGCAAGAGAGCACTGTTAAAATAGTGACAGCTACCACCTATGGAATACGAGTCCCAGGCACTTTACTTGTTATTTCTGATCCTACAAGAACCTGGTGAGGGGTTTAAATGCTACATTATCGGGGCGCCTGGGTGGCTCAGTCGGTTAAGTGTCTGCCTTTGGCTCAGGTCATGATCCCAGCTCAGCAGGGGAGTCTGCTTCTCCCTCTCTGTCTGCCCCTGCTTTGTGCTCTCTCTCTCGCTCACTCTCTCAAATAAATAAATAATTAAAAAAAATGCTACATCATCAATTGTACATAAAAAGAGAGTGGCTTGGGGGTGCCTGGGTGGCTCAGTCATTAAGCGTCTGCTTTCGGCTTAGGTCACAGTCCCAGGGTCCTGGGATTGAGCCCCGCATCGGGCTCCCTGCTCAGTGGGAAGCCTGCTTCTCCCTCTCCCACTCCCCCTGCTTGTGTTCCTGCTCTCGCTATCTCTGTCAAATAAATAAATAAAATCTTTAAAAATAAATAAATAAATAAAGGAGAGTGGCTTGGAGAAGTTAAGAGATTTCGTCAGATCATACAGACCTAAGACTCTCAAGCTCACACTCTTTCCACTCCCTGCTTCTAAGGGCTGCCCATGTGTTTGAGTCTGAATACCACCTTGTCTGCACAGCACCTCTGTGCCTAAAGGTAAGAGGACCTCTCCAGGTAAATAATGGGTTGCAAGAGACAAGGGAATGTCATTAAAGCTTTTCCATGGTTTCTCAGTGCCCTCAAGGTAAAGTTTTTAACTTGGTTCTAAGGACCTCACCTTTCCAGTTCTAGCCATTTCTCCTGTTTCTCCCTCCAGCCACACTAAATGTAAACCTGTGAAATCCTTTCCTGCCTCAGGACCTTTGCAAATGCTATCTCCCTTCTGGGAACTTGCTTCCTCATTATCTTCACCTCACTAATTCCTGCCTAACTTCAGGTCCCCCTCACCTACTTAATACCAGGCTATTGGCTCCAGGCATTCTCTACTATAGCATCCTGTGCTGGAGGGCCAAGGGGGTACAATCAACAACACCTGTGTTTTCCCTACTTGAGAGCTCCACCAAATGAGGAAATAAAGGCTACATCTGTAGCTTAGTGGTAGAATAAAATAGGTTTGCCAACTTCCTGCCCCCCCCCGGCCCCCACCCCCGAATTTAGGCTTTGTTAGTCTGTGAGCTCCAAGAGGGCAGGGACCAGGAATGCTTTGCCAAACGCTGTGTATGCTTCCAATGCCTTGCTTAATCTCTGATACATAGTGCTCAATAAATATTTATTGGTGAAAGAATATTAAGTGTTATACATAAGTCTCCCTCAAATGTGAGTAGATGAGGGCTAATGAAGAGATGTGGAGTTAGGAGGGGACTGGTAGGAGTTAAGAGTTTCATTACAACAAAAGCCCTGGGGAAGGGAAGCTTAGGTGGGTAGGAGTAAGAATTTAGGAGTTTGTTTCTTCATACCCATAAGGATCAGCATGTATGAGGCAAACCAGAATATGATTTAAACTGATCCTGATTATAAATACTAGATAACTAATAAAAAGAGAACTGAAAATCTGCTTTGGCAGCAAACCAGTCCCACTAATTGCAGTCATTCACAAGAACTTACTAATTAAGCTTAATTACCATGTGGCACAATTATGTATGTCATTAAATATATGGCAAATGAGAGAATGTGGGAAAGTGTTATGTAAACTGTAAAGCACCTTACAAATATGACTGCTATAATGTGTCAGGTTAGCACTGAGTTTTTTTCTTTAAATTTTTTTATTGTTATATTAATCACCATACATCATTAGTTTTTGATGTAGTGTTCCATGATTCATTGTTTGAGGTTGGCACTGAGTTGTTTTTTTTTTAAAGATTTATTTACTTGAGAGAGCGAGAATGAGAGAGAGTGAGTACATGAGAGGGGGGAGGATCAGAGGGAGAAGCAGGCTCCTTGCTGAGCAGGGAGCCCAATGTGGGACTCGATCCCGGGACTCCGGGATCATGA